TGAATTCAAAATTTTCACACACTAACCTGACTATCATATATCTCCTTCAAGTTTGGAAAGGAGGGGGGGGGGGTGGTGTTATGTTATCTCATGAATTAAAGGAATATAGGAGTTGGAACTTAACGACGTCTTACATGCACGTTGTAGACAGAGTATATTATTATTATGGGGAAGCCCCAGGCATCCAGTCTCCATACACCAAAAATTCTGAGTTAGAACCTTGTTACTTTGTTGAGGTCGCGAACGGACAAAGCCAAGCCAATGATTCACGACTTAAAGAGATAGAGCTTGGTAATAGGAGAGAGAACTACATATACAGATTGAAAGAAGCTCAGCGATTGGTTAACTAGATCGTTAACTTACAGATGAACAGACAAAGGTTGATACTGATTCGTGACATGACGAAGGTGACATACTGCGCAGGAAATAAATAGTTAATTGTAGTTCAAGCGGAGTGCTGCAAAAAGGCGAGCAGTGATTTCTGGGTTTATCTCTTTCACCGTAATCATTCCTATCAGCCCTGATACTATTCTATTACAACATAGGCCTAAATAGATAATGCTGCTGAGAGACTGCCCTCTCCCCCCCTCCCACAAAACCAAAAAAAAAAAAAATCATAGATAGTTAAGATAGGAATAATTCAATAATTATGTAAGAATTCACTAGTAGATTAAATAGCTCTAGGCTACGTCTGACGACGACCAATGCATCTGAAGATGAGAAAATTTCTTAAAAAGAGAAACATATGAGGCTATACAGAGTAGTTATAGAACATGTATGTGAGTCCTACACCCTAACAACAGACAGTGGAAAGTGGGGACCTATGTGCCACTTTTAAGGGTTGTATTGGTTAGCCCCCAGACTTCTAGGAATACAATTAATAGCAGTGACTTGAGGTTGGTTCAGGATATCTGGCATTGAGGAAAAAACACCTGAATACACAGTGAATGTGCCAGTTAATGTTGGTTTGTGAGCATCGTACTTAGGTAGGTCAATTGTGGCCCTTTGGACCCCGACGTTGGGGTCCTATGAACCACACATAGGGGTCCAATGGACCACCTTACAAAATTTGTACCGCACCACGTTTTTACTTCTTTCAGTTGTAACAATAGTAACAGTACACAAATATGACTATTGTTTCATGACAAAGATCATGTTCTTCGTTTATTTGAAAAGAACAGAAACAAAATCAAAACCAAAAAACATACGAAACAAAACAATAATTTGATGGGGCCTGTTAACATCTGTAACAGCTTAAGATTTCAATCTTGAAACCAATGTAGCAAATCAGAAATAAGCATACAACACACACACAAACACACACACATACATACACAGAAACACATGTGGCCATAGGTACCCAAGGGAATGGCCCAATGGTCCCCGACCATAGTTTCTTTATCATGTCGGCTCAAAGCATCGTAAGAACATGCGTAGAAATGGCCTGTGCTAGGCACACACACACACACTTAATGTAGGTTATAAAAATGTGTCAAGAACTAATTTTAACATATTATCTTAACCCACTAATAATCACCACAATCTGAAATGCGAAAAACAAAAACAAACTCGGAGGAGCAATATTTTGAAATGAAAGATCTTCACAGTGGTATGTCAGCCATGATGCCTGTCGATGAAAACACAAACAATGTAGCCTACATGTATCAGCAAAACACAACCACAAGTTGCTTCGTGAGATCCTTTGAGAATACACATTTCTCAGAACATGGGGTGGCCCCACAGAATTCTACACTTCTTAGTGTAGAATTCTGTGGGTGGCCCATATGTCCATAGGTCCCCACTCTCCCCTACTGAGAGAATGATAAGAGCCGTTGAGACGAGCTTCTTCCGTAACTTGCTCAACATCTCATACTCATACAAAGACCATGTCACCAATGAAGAAGTGAAAAGACGCATAAGACATGTAATCGGGCCTTACAACGAACTTTTAACATTGATAAAAAGCAACGCAAGTTGAAATGGTATGGCCATGTCATCCATTCTTTAGGCCTTGCTAAAACTAATCTACAAGGCACTGTCCTGTACAAGGAGGACGAAGGAGAGGCAGGGCAGACAGGTCACAGAAGAAAGGATGAACATCCGAGAATGAACAGCCATGGAGCTGTGGGACACAATGAGGGAAACAGAGCCAAGAGGAGTGGAGGAGATCTGTTGTCACCTGTCAGAGGCGACACAACGGATGACAAATCTGCGGGAGCAGAAAAGAAGAAGAGAGGATTTTGCTGTGGCCAAAGAGACAAACTCTGACAGAGAAGAGTTTGCCACGTTTTGAGCATTTAAAGCTTCATTTCCCACTGTGGATGTGCGCAGCTTGCAGCAAACCTGTCTCTTGGCCTCAGTATTATACAGTATCACTATTTAGAAACAGTAGCCTACATGTACTCATTTGCCGATAGATAGTATTAAAATTAAATCATAGAGACAATGAAAAGTGTTGCCACTCTTTAGAATAGATGAGCAATCAGGCCTTTTACACATTTTACAATTTTCATTTAGACCAACACCTATCGGTTAAAAGGTGCGTCCAAATGGATCTAACAAGAACTTTGGTCGAATTTCAAAGCTAAGAGCAATCTAAGATATTATCTTATTACTTGCCATTGTCAGACGGGCAGGGGTACACACACACGTCAGTTAATTTCTCCCTGAATAATTATTTATAACTGAAGTGTGTAAACGAAACTTGATAGACAGCGTTATACACAGTAAATTTTCAGCATAAAACTGACGTCTGTCACAGATGAGAAAACAAAATCCTCTTAGTTGGCGTGTTTTTGTTCTGTTTTAGAAAGTGTTTTACGGCACTTGCGCAACACAATAAGGTCATATAAGTGCCGAAGATTAGAGGTGTTACAAGAGAGTAACAAACACAAAAAAGGAGGGGAAATAAAGATGATAGATGTTTGATAGGAAAGAAGAAGCAAACCACACTAGAACACCCGCCAACCACCCACTCATGTTTCTCATTTTCAGAAAATGTTTTAAGTTTGACTGACTTGCAGAAAAGCCCACTATATATTTATCTAGTATTACAATTTATAGTTGATAAAATACTTTAAGCGAGGAGAAAATGACTGACAGAACCAGCGAGAGGATAGTAATAGGAGTGGGGGTTAGGGGAGCCCTTGTGAGACAGTCATGAAAGAACTTCTAAAGGAGATGAGTAAAAAAGGAACAGAGGGCGGGGGTGTGATTTCGTGTGAGAAAAAAGCTTGCAAAGTGTGGTCGTCTAGGGGGATACACCGATAACTCCCGCCCTTCTGTGATCAGTCCAGAAAAGATTCCCGATGAACATTACCGACTAATAATGAACTGATATAGATATATATACATGTAAATATCTAATGAATTAATTCCTTGAAATGGGTGTGAGATAATTTAATTGCTACTTGTGGCGTCGTTGTCCTTGTGGTTAGGGTCTTGGACTTGCAACCGTAAGGGCGTGGGTTCAAATCCCATCAGGGACCCGACATTGTGTCCTTGGGAAAGGCACTTTAACTTTACACGAATTTTCCTCACCTCACTCAAGTGGGAATGGGTACCCGCCAGCTATAGACAGTGAAAGATCTTCTCAGTTTGTTAGTGTTTGAGCGCGTAATCAGCTGTTTGCACTGTATGCTCCCCGGGAAGCTGAGAATGTTTCCGAGTGTTCTGTGGTCTTCTGGGGTAACAATATAATATAGTGTAAAGCGCATAGAGCTTGCTGTTGAACAGGATTATGTGCTACACAAATGCTATTTATCATTATTTATTATTACTTGATGATGAAGCCGTTTGCGCTGTCTACCATGCATTTTTCTCCCGTTAAATGATACTATATAAAACGTGTACCTGTCTAAGACACCCGCTTTATCTCCCCGACAACAGATAGCCGTCCTAGACAATTTCGACTATATCTTTAAAATTGATATTCAAAATTTCAGAGTGAAAGTAGACTCTCCAGATACCAGTCAAACGACGCTTGAGTTTCGCTTTCACTCGCGATAAGGTCAGCATTGCCCAAGTGACAAGAACTGACAATTTCAGGAAATGTAATCCCCCCTTAGCTACACGAAAAAGTCCGCGGGGTGGTAATTAAGATGGATCGCCAAAAGCTAAAGATAAAGGGAAGGAATTCATGAGCACGCTTCCCTGGCGCACGGCAGAATGCTACCTGGTCTCCTACTGCGGTTCTTCGATGGTTTTATTCAGTTTTTTCAACAAGTTTTCAACTCGGCAAAGTGAGCTCACTTCAGATATCGGGAGAATTTCTCGGCGCCACGGTTTGTGGGAGTGTATGTACCCAGTGCTCTCTGTCTGTCTGTCTGTCTGTCTGTCTGTCTGTCTGTCTGTCTGTCTGTCTGTCTGTC